TTTTTTGTTAATTAAAGATACATAAAAATAATTAGACGTTGGCATGTAAGTGTTTAATAAATTGTCATTTAACATGTTTTTAGTACTAAAGAGTCCATTATGCTATTATCATTATAATATGGATAAATATACCCATGTGTCCTTATATAATTGTCACACGAGTGATGACCTCTCGACAATCTTAAAAAATAAATATAAAAATATGTGTAATGTGGGGATGTGGAGTCATCATTCAATTTTCAAAAAAGTGAAAACTAAGAAAAAAAAACCTAGCACTAATCTTAAGAGTTTCAAGTAAGAAAGTTGATTACACAACCATAGAAGACTACAATCATCCTAGTGTGCTCTCACAATGAGGTTACTTTGTCTTTTTAGCCTATGGGAATTCATTCATGCAAATCAACTTTTTTATCATGATTTGTGAGTTTGATTATTGAGATCCTTTTCTAATCGATCCTAAGAAATATGATTTGGAGACCGAAAGAAGACTCGATCTCTCACCTAAAATGTCATTGGGTCATTGAAGCCCATTGAGAAGGTAAAAGTTTTGACGCAAAGCCTATGGCAAATTAAACTCTAATCCCATACAAAAATAAAAAATAAAATGTACATGGCCCCTAACCCAAATTCACCTGCCAAATCATAAAAAATAAGATAAAATTACAAGTCCGTAATAACTAAAAAGATAGATATAGGTCTCAAGCCCATATCATGTGCCATGCCAATTTAAAATATAAAATTGGGTTTAAGACTAAATTAAATGCTAAATCTGCAAGAAGAAGAAATTAGTAGCACCATAAAAAATAATAATTAAAATTAACTATAACAATAGTCATAAAAATAAAAATAAAACAAAATAACAAGAAAATGTCCATCATTGAAACAAAATCAATCTCAAGTCCTAAAACTACTCTTGCTAGATTGACCTAGACCGGCATTGCATAGAATAAACACACACAATACAAAACATAAAAATATGAAAAAAAAAATCATAAATCACATAAAAATGACTACATGAAAAATAAAATAGCCAATAGGCCCCCATAAGATCCTTGGCCTATAAATTCAGATTTGACATCTTTAATTGTTTAAGAAAATTACTAGCTCATTACTAGTTTCATCATTGATCGATAATTCCTTGGGGACTTAAAATAAAAATATTTTATGATATGTCAAGCAACCTCTTTTATTGAAAATAAAAAAATCAAAATAAGACAAGATTAAAACTTAAAAAAAAATTCACTAATCCATTATTCCTAATCTAATTGAACATTAAAACACATCACACATAATAATAATAATAATAAAAAAACTTGAATTTAGATTCTTTTTGGTTCCATCACAATAACCCAATATTCAAGTTTTCAAATCTTTCAATTACACCTCGACCAAACGTTTTACATTCAATAATCATTTAAATATTTATCTTCAATCACATAATTAACATTATCATCCTATGAAAATGAAGAAGCAATCGAGTAAAATCATAAAATTTGGATGAAAATCAAATCGAAATGTGAAAAATACAAGGACGTAATTACTAAATTAGTAATTTAGAGACTAAACTGGATCCGAAGTTCACCAAAAACGGTAAAATTTTGAACGACGAGTGCTCGCTTCCTCATTGATCGGAATTGAGCGATTCTTATGGGATTAGAATCATCTTGGACACACACTTCTTCTAGCATGACATGTGTATATCGATGACTAACAAGTGATGAGTGGGGGTCGGATCTCTCGTAGTTGCTTGTTTTGTCTCTCTCTTTTTTATTGCTAGGGTTTTTCTTTTCCGTGTGGCACTCTCCTCCACCCTTTTGTGTGTATGCATAGTATTTATAAGCATGCTTCTAGGGTTAACCTAGGATTTTTATTTTCTATTCTATTTTTTCTTTTATAATTAATCGAGCCTAACCCAATGCCTAATACCTAACTCAATACCGATCTAGGCCCAATTCCTCTCTTCTTTTTTCTTTTTTTTTTTCAATCTTGATCTAGGCCTAATTCCTCTCTTCTTCTTCTTCTTCTTCTTTTTTTATGAGGATAAAAATAAGATGATGACAACTCGTCCCTTCTTGATAATGTTGACACGTCAAAGATGTAAGAAGACGAATCTTCGTACATCTTAACGTAGTGAGCTTGTAAAGAAGAGATGTGATAAAAAAAAAAAAGTTCAAGTTAAAACATCAAAAATTATGAAGAGGAAAATTGGGTCAAAAGTTTAGTGACAAAAGGGGGAAGAGGAAAATTCCAAGCAATTCAACTTTTCAAGGTCTAATTGGATCTATCTAGGTAAGTTAATCTCACCTGCATCACAAGGAAGTGTTATTAAATATTAATTATGATTTTAGAACCCTTAATTGATGTTTAATTGAAGTAATTTTGAAAATAAGAGTTAGGGTTTTTGGTGAAAAAAAATTAGAAAAAATAATTTTAACTTAAAAATTCATACAATTGAAGTTAGAACATGTTAATTAAGCATGAAATTGTGCATTAGAAACAATAATTTTTTTTAGGTTAAATCTTTGAGGAACATTCGACCCAAAATGAGAATTTTAGGATTTTTAATTCTTTGCTTTGTTTGATGAACTATAACTTGATTATGTGTTGGTTAAGTATGATTGATGATGGAGCATGAAAAATTGCATTAGAATTGGAAATTTAATTATTATGATTAAATGTTGGTTCATGTCAACAACATACATAATAATGGTGGTAGTCATGATGGCACGATGATAATTGATATGATTCTGAAAATGATGATAAGAATTATAGTGATACTAAAATTTTTATGATTGTAATTTTATTGATAAACAAAGAGTGTTGTAGTATGTGATAATGATATGATAATAATGATTACAATAAAATGGGAGCAACAAAAATAGTCATAATATGCTTTCAAAACTATAGAAATAATGATAGTAGTGTTAGTTAAGTTAATGATAATAGCAGTAATGTTAAATGAAATGATTGTAATGAAGATATTAAATGAAAGTGGTGGCTGAAATAACTATGACAACGATGGTAGTATGACGATGCGGTGATTGCAATGACGATAGTAAGGGTGATATTAATGGTGTGGTGATGTTTGTGGTGGTGATGTTGGTAACACTATATATATAAAGTAAAACATAAAAACACCTTTTGGTGTTTTCAAAAATCTATTTTATTTTTTTTTTAAATTATTTTAAAAAATTAGTGTAACAGATGCAATCAAATACGCTTTTTGTTTTTCCGCAATGATACCAAACAACACCTAATTAATTTATGTAAGTTTATAAATTAATTTTTTATATTATTTTATTTAATATTTTTGTTTTTTTTTATATAAAACAATCACAAATTTTGAAAAGTGAAAAAGTAAATGAGAAAGATATTGATTTTAATCAATCAATTAGGAAAGTTTCGCACCTTAAGTTGTAATTTGTTATAATTAGTACATAACCGGATAATAATGGAAATATAAGTGTATTCAATCAAGTAGTAACATGATTTGCATAAATGATAAGTATATACAACAATTTATAAGTCGTGTTGATCTATTTTCTAACTAGTTATCCAATTGTTTATGGAAAAATTTTGTAAAAAAATCCACAATACATTTTAATACATTAAAAGAGAATCAGTTCAATTTGTTTTTATTTTTTGGATCAAGTCTTCATTTTGTCTTTATAAATCTAATTGTTCTTAGTTTATCTTCGAATATATGATTAGTTTTCAATTTATCATTTTATCAGATTTTTTTCTTCCAAACTACCAAAAATACCTTTATATGAGATGCTCAAATCCCACTTGATTTATTACTATAATAATAATAATAAACATGAAAACATTGAATTTTAATACAACATGACAGATCCCTTTTTTTCAAATATTTTTATGTATTTATAACAAACTAGGTCATGTTTCAGCTTCTCATGTGAGAGAATTTTCATTAGTTTGGATGAGAATATCTATAAAAAGAATAGATTGAAAATAACTTAAAATATAAAAACAAATTGAAAGTAATTAGACATATAAAGACATAAACTAAGTCTAAAATATAAAGAAAAATTGAAATAATTCTCTTAAATTAAATTTATTATAGATTTTTCAATTGAATATTAATTATAAGGAAAAAAAGAGTAGATTATAAATCAATTCTTCTTGTTTTAAAAATTATCATTTAGTCGTTTGATCACCGTTGACCATTTTTAATTAAATATTATTTTTATTTCACAAAATGTCTTTTTTCTCATCAATTTTTTCATATATTTTTTAATAAATTGAAAAAAAAAACTAATTACAAGTAGATTTAAAAATATAAGGACTAAATAATTTGTTTTTAAAACAAATGAAATTAATTAATTCATTTATCAAAACAAGAAGGATTAGTTTATTTAAGAACGCTGGATTCCAATGACTCCGGATCCTTTGGATGGCGGTATTGGGGTACCGGTGCTTCGCTGGCCGTCGTTGATGTCGGCCTTGGACGTAATCCGATGAAGAATAGTTTAGTAATTCAATTCGTAAAAAGGCCAAAAAAAGAAAAGAAAAAAAAAAGGGATATATTATTGTTAGAATGGCCCACATGTCACCAATTCAACACGAAGGCCATTGAGAGCAAGAAGTTGCTCACAAAATCAGCATTGGCCAACAGGGAAAAACCGCAAGAGACATACAAACTGAATGCCCACGCGCAATTATATATGAAAGAAGAAGGCCAAATTGCGAAAAAAAATAAAAAAAGCCCTATGAACTTGGGCAAAAGGATCAAATACTCCCCTACAAAAATTCCCAAAATTTCCACCTTAAATTACTTCAATTTTTAAACGTAGTCCATTCCGTTAATTAGGTTAGGTTTCCGTTGAAAATTAAAGCTAAAATTCTGTTTTGAATAAAATACCATATTTAAAAATAACTATATTTTTTTATATAAAATAATTTCTGAATACAATTTGGGTTTTTTTTTTTTTGACAATTTGGCCAGTAAAACACAAAGAAACCGATACAGAGCTGAGGCTATGGCTTCTATAGCAGAGAGTGAAGAGGCATCGCCAGGCATATACATACCAGAGGAATGGTCAGAGGCTGCAGACTCGGTAGCATACGATTCCACCACTTCACCACCTCCTATTGCCTTTGTCTGCGGCCCTAAAAACTGTGGCAAAACCACCTTCTCTCGTTACCTCCTCAATGTTCTTCTCCAAAGGTTATTTGCCTCTCTGTTTTTCCGAACTTTATTTGCTTTTTGAAGCAAATTGTTGGTTTGTAAACTGGGTTCCTGTTGAAAGTCCAAACTACTTGTATTCATGGTCAAAATTTGATTGTTTGGACTATTGGGTTTTGTTTACATAGATAAAAATTGTGTTGTATTTTATTGTATTCACTGATGGGTGCTTCATTGATCATATATTGAGTCTTTCCTGGAGCTGAAGTTGATGTTTATAGGTGATGTGGAATTCGTTTTGTGATTTTTGTTGTTTACAGATATAAAAGGGTAGGTTATTTGGATACAGATGTTGGGCAGCCCGAGTTTACTACTCCTGGTTTTTTATCCCTCACTGTGGTTGACAAACTAACTCCAGGTATTTATTTAAGGGTTTTACTTTTTTACCATATGTCCTGTTCGTTGAATCCCATATTTTCATGAAAACTTCTGTTCCAAAATGTCTTTCACATTATAAACTAATCGACTATTTCTGTTTTCTTTTGTTTCCCACAATCAGATTTGACCATTCCGTGTCTGAAGACACCAGAGAGGTATGGACTATTGAACTCATTGTGCTAGTTATAATCCTTTTCCTTTTCGTTATGGGAATATTTGAGATGTTGTTTCGAGGATTTATGGTTGCATAATTGTTTAGTTTTATGCATACTGATCTATTGTTTGATTTTGAAAATCTCCTGTACGATTTACTTTATAATTTCCATAAAGATTTTAAGAATTTACTAAGGTGGAATTGATTATCACCTTTTAATGGCTGGTCTAGGCAAATTTTCATTCTTGAGCATGATTTTGTGGAAAGAATTTGTTATTTGTGGTCGCTTATAGTTCTCTGTTTTATTTTGTTATTTTTTTTTCCAGATGTTTTTTCTTTGGTGATGTTTCTTCCAAAAGGGATCCAACAGCATATCTGAAATGTATATTTACCCTATATGACTTCTATCGAAAGGAGTACTGTAAGAGTGATGGCCCTGCTAAGAATGAATTGCCTCTTGTTGTTAACACACCTGGTTGGGTAAAAGGTGTGCCTCTTTACATCACTTATTTCTTTTGCTTCTTTTCTAGCCCTATCTCCTAGATCTTGCATTACTTATTTACCACTCGTGTTACTTCACTCGAGTACTTTTCTAGTTCAAAATAAGCAAAATATTATCTTCTTTTCTTGTGGTTTAGGTGTTGGGTATGATATATTGGTAGATATGTTGAGGCATATTGCTCCTACCCATGTGGTTAAGATAAACATAACTTCTGAGAGAAAAAATCTGCCAGATGGGAAATTCTGGTTAGATGATGATTATGGTGGGGAGGTTAATCTAATTGAGATTGGTTTGGCTCGTCAAGACTCGTTCAATAGATCGTAAGTTTTCCTTGAAACTATCGTAATCTGACTATAATCTCACTTGCTTAAACAGATTGCTGTTTGCCTTAGCCGGTTCCTGTATAATTAGATCTTTGTAAATTGCTGCGTTGTCTTATTTGGCTGTTGTTGTTATCTGGAATTTTTCATATCTGTTGAAACAAGTTTGTAGTGTTTTGAATTATTTTTTCTAAGTTTACTGTAGAACTTACATGATTTGGCTGCCTAGAGATTTTCTCCATTAGGTTTCTCATTTAATCTGGAATTAATTTCTCAGATGTTTTATGCTTGAATTTTTATCTTACACTCAATTGTTCTGATTCTTCTTCTTAAAATCCATTAATACTGCTGCTACACTTCATTATTATGTAGACTATCTTACTTCATAAGAAGCACTTATATTTCTTTTGACAACTTATTTTTATTTCGTGCCAGGGTTCCAATACAAAAGGATGCACGCCTTTTGCGAGATTTACGAATAATGGCTTACTTTAGACAGTGCTTTCCGAGTAACCTGAATATCACCACAATCAAGGAACTTGCAAATGCTCTTGCCTCTCACCCTCCTTATCAAGTTCCAATATCAAGCATTAAAATCAAGCATCTCCATTGTCAGGTTGGTTCATGGCATATAAACTGCCATGCTGCTCTTCCCGCACAACTGTTACCAGTACGCTTTATTTATGTGCGCCTTTCTAATCTATTGTTGCATTGTCAGAACATTCCACAATGTAAATAAGCGCTGATGGGTTGCAAAATTTGAATTTCTGTTTTACATTTTTGTAGAAATGTGAAATGATCAAGGCTTCTTTGACATTTTAAATCTCTTATGCTAGGTCCCACATACTGAAGTCTTCTACAGTTTGAATGCAACCATTGTTGGTTTGGCAGTTAGTTCTGAACAGTCAGAAAATTTACCTTGGTGTATTGGTCTTGGTAGGCATTTTTGTTTGCTGTCTTGCCATACTCAGTTGGTTACATTTAAATTTTTTCTAATTTCTATTTTGCCTAAGTATTCTTAGTAATTCAGGGAGTGCTAATGTGATCCAGAAATTTACTTTTATAAATATTACTTGAAAATATCATGTTTTTATCCTCATTGGATGCCTCCGTTGAACCAGGAATTGTTAGGGGAATCGACACATTCAAAGGTTTGCTCTACTTAATCACACCAGTGCCGCTAAGCCTTCTGGAAAAAGTTGATCTTCTTCTGCAGGGATTTATCCATATTCCTACTTGCTTATTGCAGGTAACTGATCCCTTTCAGCTTCACTAGATGTTTCTTGATACTGTATTGTTTTGTTTTGTAACTGCATCTATTAGTTTTGTCAAATTTCTGTCCTGCTCCATCTATTTTCTTGGGCTTTACTTCTTGCCTGTTTTTATGCATCAGAAGCACATTCACCTTTGTCTTCTTTCATTAACATGGCTTTGCAACCAAGAAAGAAATGCTTGTTAGCTTTCAATGCACAGTTTAGGATGATATTCATGTCGTATAGGTGGATTGAAGTATTCACTCTTTGATGCCTTCGCCCTGCCTTGCAAAAAAAAAAAAATGTCTTGTGCAGTATGATTTGTCTTGTCTTCAAAATACTTTTCTTTGGCCGCTGTATGCCTTGGGTATGGCATGGCTGCTGATGCCTTTGGCTTGACATTGCAACCCCTGCCTAGACCAGTGGAAAATGACCGGAACATCATATGCTAGGTTAGGCTAGGCAATATGGATAAAAAATCTACGATGGGAAGATGTTAATTAGGATGCAGCAATTATGATAGTCTGCCACATGGTGTCTCTGTCATGCAAAGAATATTCTAAGGAGCTGTATGTTCCAACTGCAGAAAGGCTATGTATTCTTTTTACCACCAGAAGAAGTAACTTTTCTCACTGCCATGATATTTTTTCATCTGTCCATAATGGTTTGCCTTCATCCGAACGGCAATATTAGTTGTGTTTGCTTAATGGCGCAAAAGCTGGTGAAAATGGTACATCACAACAGTTGGTTTTGGTTCTAGACAGATGCCTGTAGTGCTTCATTTATTTTATCTGCATCGCTACCAAAGAAAACAGTGGTACAGCACCATTTGCACCATGTTAATGCAGGCATGATCCAAAATGGTAGTGATTGTGCTTTGGTGAAAGCATTGACAGCTCTATATATTGACCACCACTTTAGTTCTTATCTAAATACTGGAATTATTTTCAGGTGCAAGGATGCATGTCACCTTACATGTCTGCGAATGTTTTGGCCACAAGCTAACTGATATAAGGTCACTGACACTCGCTAATTGCTTCATGCAAAACTCGTTTACAGATGTTCAAAATTATTTGGAAATTCAGTGTTAGTTTATCTTTAATTTTTATTTATATAATATAATGTATGAAACAGCACATTTTATTATCTGTGTTGACTCCCTTGGAACATCATCTAACATTCAGAAATATTTGCCATAAAGAAAGCAGTTGGATTCATCGCTTTCATACACTGAAAAAGATCCATCTTTTCGAAGCGGAAAGGCACTTTCATATGAAAAACCTTGTAATTGAATTTTAAACGGACTAATGCATCAATTGTAGTTGGTGTGGTTGATGAAAACCCGTTGCTTCTGAGCAGGACCTGTTTGAATTATTGCACTAACGTATAAAACAATCTGTGTTTAAAACTTGGTAAATTGATACGTAAGCTGAATTAAATAGATGGCCAATTGGCTTTTCTGTCTGTATTCAGCAATGAATTCAGATAAATGGCCGTTTGTGAACTTGGGATTGTTACTCTCTGTTTGAACTGGAGTCTAGAGGTTGGAACATGACTAAAAATGCAGGGCTTGGAAGTCCTTTCATTACGGTGATAAAATTCTACCACTAGTGTTATCGATGATGATGATGAGGGTGCTTTTTAATAATTTTAGACGGATTGACAACTTTTCTAGCAGAAGTGCCATTGATTGATTGGGATTTTGGGCTTAATATATTCAAGAAAGTGGAAGCCCTCAGGATCTACGCAGTCCAAGGGTTAAAATTAAAAGTATTCATTTGATAAATATTTGCGAGTATAACCACTTAAATAATAAAAATAAAAATATATCAATTTAAATAAGAAAGAAAAATGCAAGGAATTCAATTAGAAATAAAATAAAATATTTATAAACAGTTGGGATACACTTTAATATGCTGATCTACTAATTCAACAGTTACGTCTATGAACGGTAAATATTTATACAGATTCGATAGGTACAAGCTAAATGTACTTGGTGCATCTTCAAAGTAATAGTTAAAAAATTTTCTTTCACGTAAACTGTTGCCAGCAACCTTGCATGCACTCCATCTGCTATTATTTTAGCTGGAGATGGCCTGATATATATACATACATACATACATTCACACACACACTTATGTGTGTGTGTGAATGTATGTATGTATGTATGTATGGTGTTTCTGAGCGTACTGGATTAAGCCCAAAATATCATGAAGCTGCTTTTGAACACAGGCAGCTGACGGAGCATTCCCTATTGGCTATTGTGTTTCAATAAACATTCATTGTCGTTTCACCCTCCATTCAGTTTGTGGAAGAGTGCTTGATAGACCGTTAATTCAGGTACATGTTCTGCATGCTACGCCTCAATTCTCCCGTAAAATTTTGCTATTTATAGCCAAGTTAAAATGGCCACCCAAATTTTGAAACCTAAAACTAAAACTGCAGCTCCTACCTCTAACCTTCTCCCCTCACACATGCACCAAACCAAAGGACATGATCTTGGTTTGGTTAATCCCTCCACCAACACCCTGGTCATGATCTTCCCTATCTTATCATCTTTTCAGGCCTTCTATTTCACTCGTTTGGCGTCCATCTGAATACAAGTTCTCTTTCCTCATATTGATTCTTGATTTTGGGATCAATTTAACCATGCCAAAGAGATCATTTAAATGTTTTGTGGAACAAGAACTGGGAGAGCTCCCACTCTTCTTGATCCATGCTGTGCTCGAATGGGTGTTAATTGCTGTGTTATTTATTGATGGGTTTCTTGCATTTTTTGCCAACGAATTTGCCAAGTTCTTTGAGTTGAAAATCCCTTGTTTGCTTTGCACAAGGATCGATCATGTTGTGGTTCGTCGTGATGCTGATTTTTATTACAATGAATCCATATGCGAAACTCACAAGAAGGAGGTTGCAGGTCTGGCTTTTTGTCACGTCCACAAGAAGCTTTCTGATATAAGAAAAATGTGTGAGGGGTGTCTTCTTTCTTTTGCTGCCGAGAAAGAATCTGATTGTGATACATATAAGCCTCCTGTTGGGGTTCCACGTAAGGACATAGAGCTGTTTGTTGATGATGATCATGACATTCATTCCAGGTTACCTACTGGAGGAAAAGACAACATGTTGCCAGCTGAGAAGAGCAGCCTCCATCAGTGTTCATGTTGTGGGGACCCGTTGAAGGTAAAGTCCTACTCGAAGGGAAAGATTGCTGGCATTCTCTCACAAGCTCCTACTCCTTCTCCCCGAGCACCATTTGTGAGTGTGAGAAATGATGGCTCTCGGAAGTTGGACTTATCTCATGTGCAATACACAGAACTCAAGTTCTCGGAAAATGACTCAGAGCTTCATGAGGATGAAGATGTCTCGAATGCAGCACGTGATAAGCAATGTCAGTTTTAAATTTAACTTTGTTCTTGCTTTCTCTGTCACTTCTTACATAATCATGTTAAAGAGTTCTTTGAACTTTTAAAGATTCTTTTAACTATGCAAAATTATATGAATGCATGGTGTAGTTCAGAGAAAGTAAATCAAAATTGTCCAAATAATGAAATGCATATTCTTGAAATGAATTGCTTAAATTTTTGACATTGCATGTAGTTCCTTCTTTCTTTTTCAACGACCTTATTAATTTAGTGGATGGAATTTTTGTGCCAGTTAGGGAAGATGTCAAAGCTGCTATGGTGCCATTGCTGACAGAAGCTGAGAACATGAATGAAGATAGGACCCCTACATTATCCAGAGGAAATAGGTTCTTTGGAATCCCACTAACGGATTCAGCTGCTGCCAGTCCTAGGGCATTTACTAGGTTTCCAAGGAAATCACTCCTCGACAAAACTGAATATGCTTCAGAGTTCACAGAACTGACCTCTCTATCAAATGAAGTAGACAGTGACTCAATTTTGCAGCATTTAAAGAAACAGGTTCGTCTGGATCGCAAGTCGCTGATGGCTTTATACATGGAACTGGATGAAGAAAGAAGCGCTTCTGCAGTTGCAGCTAATAATGCTATGGCCATGATCACTCGGTTGCAAGCAGAGAAGGCAGCTGTTCAGATGGAGGCATTACAGTATCAAAGAATGATGGAGGAGCAGGCAGAGTATGACCAAGAGGCCTTGCAAGCAACAATGGATATAGTATCCAAGAGAGAGGAGCAAATCAAGGCTTTAGAGGTTGAGCTTATGGCTTATAGAGAAAAATATGGTGTCCTAATGGAACAAGGTTTAACGGGATCTGGAGATGAGATCAATGAGGATTATCATGAGTTGAAGCAACGGTCTCATTCATCTTATAATGAAACATACGAATGTCTTAGCCCAACTTATGGTTCCACAGAAGGGCAAAATATTCCAGCAAATGTGTGTCATCAAAGTTGGTTTACATCTTTTATGGATGATGAGAATGAAGGGGAAACTGAGGACAAATCACTGAAGGGTATTCGAGGGAAAAAACCTCCTCGTCTAGGTCGGTTGAAAAATTTAGAGAAGAATGCACATATTTCATCAGATGATGGGGGTTCTTCCTCTCAGTCTAGTTCTGATGATGTTAGCGACTTAGAGAAAGTGACAGGTAGTTGATTCAGAGATGCATCCATTAAGTTAATGAATAAGTTCTGCATTTTCTTAAATCATCTGAGGATACCTTTTTATATGGCAGAACAAGAAAGGGAAGCAAATTTAGTCAAAGAATTCTCACATCTTCATGGACCGGCAAAGGCCCTTGAAGCAGAAGGTGGATTCTTGAAACTTGCTGGTCATACACTTCAAAATGGTAGTGAAGTTATAACTGATAGTCTTCAGAAGATTTGTCATTTGGTCACAACTGGTGATCATGATGCATAAAACTCATCCTAATCGTTTTCATGGTAATTTTCTTTTTCTTTTGTAATTCATCTTAGAGGGTTGATAGACAAACACATTTGACAAATGAAAGCTATGTGCATCCATTTTTGTTTGTTTCTTTTTTTTTTCTTGCATATATTCCAACAATGTATCTCTATTCTCTAATAATGTTTAATACCTATGTGTTAGCCTACAAAACATCTTCTATGGGTAGTATTACGTACCATTCTTCCGCAATGGTGCTAACTAGTTAGTAATGTAGATCTTTTTCTTTGGCAGTAAACATTTTTTGTTAGGATGCAAATACAGTAAATGCATTGCCGGGAGAAATTGAAGCTCTGGCTTTGAAGTTTAAAGCTTCTTGAAGTTTCGGATATCAGTACCTTCTCTTCTGGTGGTGAGAGATTTATTTGTGGTGTATTTATCAATTAACGTAGTCGTTTGTGTTACAAATTCAAGCAGAACAAGGAACAAGATGATATATATATATATATATATATATATAATGAGCATGCTCCAATCTTATTTAAGGTTTAACAAAGATGAGACTCGAACTTAACACTCACCCTCTTGCTTATGCAAGATTCCCACTAAACTAGAAGCTCATTGGCAAGGAGATGATCCATGTAACTGAATTGAAATTGTAAATGACTAGATTACTATAAGCCAGGAAAAAGATAAAACACTTCTGAGTCAACCTGTGTAGACTGTATGTCGTTTATTGTGAAACGAAACGAAACTCAAGTAGTTACGAGTGTTTTAGCAACCATTGATTTAAGGGCTTTTTTCCTACTCTTAAAGTAAGATCACAATCACTCAGAAATTGTTTTGTCGAAACAAATGCCTTGGTTAAATATTAACTGTTAGTCGTTGATTTTAACTCGAGGTTTGGCGAATGTAGCAAACATGAGTGGGTTGACGTGAATGGTTACAAGGTGACTATATGATCTAAGTTAGAATTTACAAGAAAGTAAGATAATTATAGTCATAGTTTTTTTTATTGTGATTTAACATTTCCACTTCTTCGCTTCTATAATGGTGCATCTTTGGTAGGCTTTTAAGTTGAAAGAAGCTGTTTCTAAACTTTATATGTAAGGCTAAGGCATGAGAGATGGTTCCTTCAATTTTGACAAGTCGTGGCAAGGCAGAATAGACAGCAGCAAGTCACCATGTGATCTCCAACTATTACAACCAATTCCTGAGAAATCTCTTCTTCATCGACGTAAACAATTACCAAGGTGCCAGGAGAGAGTTGGTGGTGTCTAGAGAAGTGCACTAATCTTCATAGCCAATAAGCCAACTGCCCAGTGGCTTATCATCCCTGCAAAATACTACCAGACAACTTATACTATGATTTATTTTTTCCCTTAATTATTATCATTTGTTTCTTCTCTTTTAATCAATCATAGATTTTCTCCAAGTAGCACATTTTTTTATTCCTGCAACGTGATTACAGTTCATGTGCTTGCTGTAGCTGGTAAAAACCAGGAAGTAAATTACAGAACAAGAATTTAAGTCACTACTTGTTTTGAATCAAACCTTAAGTAAGAGACTTTCTAATGCATTAATGTGAGCACGGATAAGCTCACATCTGTGTTGTCATATGGTTCAAGTGGAGTTTTTCTAAAGCCAGAGTTGAGGAATCAAAAGTGCAACTCATTCTTCAATAATCATCCATCGGCATCATATTTCTTCCTGATGCAGAATTGAATAAAACACAAGATAATGACGCTGATGCTACTACAGCTCAGGAGATCTGAGGCCAAAAGTTGAGAAATTTTGAACCAGTACCAAAATCACAATAGATCAAATATTGATCCGATTTTGATTATAATTTGATCTGTTCTGATAATAATCCCATTCGAAATGAATATTAATATTATTTTTAATAAATACATAGAAAAAATATGACACTAGGTTTAGATTTAGGGTTTATTTATTACCAAGAAACATTCTACACTTCTCTCTTCTCTCTTTTTTCCCCCTATATTGAAGGTTATTCTTTCAAACAATTAAATAATAAGTTTGTTTTCATCATTTTTCAAGTCTCAAATTAATTTTGTGAAAAATCGTATAAATGCATGAAAAAAATAAATTAATTAATGAGTTATTGCTAATATTATATTTGTGTTTCTAATTTATAAAATCTTAATTCAATCTGAATTTTTGTTCATTTCAAGCTTATTAATTGTAAAATACTATGATTTTCTTTCATACCATTCAAGTTATGTCTAAAATAAGCATTTTTATCATACTTCTAGCCTAATTAAATTTTTATTAGGATTATCTAATTTTGTTCTTTTTAATGGTGAAACATTTAGATTTTTTTCCCCCTAAATTGACATATTAAATATTATTATTTTTCTTATACATGCAATAGTTGAAATTCATTTTAAATTGAAACATAATTTTAAATGCAACCAACACTTTTTAAAAAATAAAAAATTGACTAATAATTCCAAATGATATTCAAATCAAATCTGAACACGTTAAAAACCAGATCAATAATTGCAAAACCTAAATTTGAATTCATAAGATCCTATTCAATCTACTTATTAAACAAATTGAATCCAATTTTACTCAATTTTTTTTTATCAGGTTAAAAGTTTTAGATGCAAAGGACGAAAACAAGAGAAGGTTTGTTCCGCTACTGCTTCAATGGAAACATCGTCTCAAGTTATTGCAATGTACAATTTTGGATGCAAAGGTTGAAAACAAAGGGAAGGTTTGTTCCTCTACTGCTTCAATGGAAACATCATTTCAAGTTACTGTAATGTTGTCACTGTGAGATTCGATTATCCTGGCTCCTATAAGCAGCAGGACGTTTTATTCTCTGGTTCTAAGGTATCTAGAAGCTATAGTTTCCCACAAATAACTTCAGTTGTTCCCTAAATGCCAAAGGGGCAGAGTGGCTATTATCTCCATTCTTTCCCCCCAGACTGACAGACTTTTAAGAATTTTTCCTACTATCAGCTATTCATTAAATTGAACTGAAGCTCAAATGCAAGAAAGGCAGCATATATGCATTCAAAAAGAAGAAAAAACAAAAAATAAAAACAATAGTAGGGCAGTATACAGTAAAATCCTAGCTGAGACTCTTTCTGATCAATAAACACAAAAAACTAGTATAAATGACAACACCAGTGTCAATCTTAACAAATCGAATGCAAAATTTCAATGAGCACTTCCAGACGTTGTTTAACCAAGGGGTATAAACTATACGATGGATGCATTGTTATTGCTGTTTCTTTCACTTTCTAAAATACAAGACAAAAACCAACTACAAAGTAAACCTATAAACTCACAGGAATGCAGAAACCATAGAACAATTCTGACCAAAAGAATGACAATAACCATGTTTCTTTTTGTCACTTCCTCAAGTAAACACCAATATCCTCTATTCTGTAAGATGCATCTACAAAACCACAACCATAACTTTGAAAATTTTGCCAACTGAGGGTAAGCTATGCAAATCATAAAAAATAGTCAGGAGTTCTGCGTGTGGTATCAGGTTCAATCTGCCGAGGTGCTGGGTCAAATTGAAGGAAATTCTGCTCCATATTCTCCCCAATCTCAAGTATTGCAGCCATATTACCACAGCGATAGCAGTAATTTGGCGCACTGAACACTGTCACCACGTTCTTGTCCTACAAAGATTTGAAGTAGATAAAATGTGAAGATAGATTTCAGGAACTTCATAGCTGAATAAATAATATTTTTCACTTGGAGCCCACAAACCTGGGACCAATTGTATCCTTCCATAACAAGCTGGTGAGCTCTAGAAATGAGACCGAGCCCATTTGTGTGGTTGAACTGTTGAGAGATATCCTGTCCAAAGGTGTATCCAGCCCCACGAGGAGAAATTCCCCATCCACAACGATCATCAGGATCAGACCAAAGGAGATCACACATTGGACCCTCATGAGGTACCTAATCATGCAACGGAAATAAAACAGCAAAATGAAACGGCAACAATAAGGGAAAGATATTTGTGGTTGAGCAATAGCAGCTAGTCATCTATACTACACAAAATCAACAATGAACATCAGCTTACAAAGGCTACTTTAGTCATATAATTGACCAAGCAGTGCTACAGGCATTCACTTCAATTCTCTTAAAAGAATCTGAGCAATGTCTCAATCAAAGCAAACTTTCCCAGACATTACTTCAATTAATAAGCTTAATGCTAAATTTCACAAACTCCACCACCTGTAAATGATGCAGGGTGAAAATTTACATACAAAAGGGAGGAAAATAAGCGATATTTACATAAATCAAAACAGTGGCAAAAGCATAGCCAGTTTTCTTCTGACAAATGTAGAAGGCAATAGGCTTGCACAAATATTAACTGGTTTTGCCTTGTAACCTTCTCATGCAAAGACAATCAGGTAAACCAGTTTGGCATGCAAATGGAAAAAGTGTGCAGTCCAATAATATTTGATTTGAAAGCAAATAAAACTGTGTCGGGAAAGATGTTATCAAAGATCAATCCAATAAAAGTAGAATGATGACTGCAGGTGTACCTCCTGTATACGGTCCAGGGAACGAATATTATCTAATGTGTCCAAAGATGGGGAAAGACCACCATGTAAGCAGAAGATCTACAAGGTAATGGTTAGCAGATAAGATCATGGGGTTAATTTAAAACTAAAACCAAGATCAAAGGCATAAATCAGGGTAAGACAGAATTTTTAGAATTTAAACCTGACTCTCAATTAGGGCTGTAAGTGGGAGATAATCAAAGAGGTCGGTGAAATATTTCCAGACATTGGCATTTCCATATTTCCTCAAGCACTCATCATAAAATCCATACCTGAAGAGAAATAAATGAGATATTGATATGTACTGCAGATATGATGATGCAATGTAACAAAATAACTAAAACACCAACATCTTTCTGGCTTGCACTCTCCTCTGCTCCACCTCCTCTTTCAAATGTATAAGAATCTAATTAACTGGCTTGTATGCAAGAAAAAGAAGAGGGAAACAATTGATGCAGGTTATCGGCACTAGTACATTTCAATTTTGGGGATGGTTAAATAGGACATTAAGAAGCAAAGTTATTCTTCTATTTCAAAAACTCACTTTACAAAACATGTGTGAGAGCAGTTTTTGACCAAGCAACTTGGTGAACAGATTATTGCACCAATGGTGATTAGCATTGCATCTATAATTGGGTGAACATAAAATGAACAAAGCTCTTACACTTGAGTTATTTGACGACTCTCGTGATTTCCTCTTAGAATTGTGATCCTATCTCTATATCGAACTTTCAGTGCCACTAAAAGAGTGACAGTCTCCACAGAATAATATCCTCGATCTGCAAACTCCCAAAAGAAAAGGTAAACGTGGTGGCAATTTCTGATATTTAAAGTACTAAAACAACTTAAAAACCGAGACATATAAGATTAGCTACAAAAGTTAAGCATAAAAAAGTCCACTTAGGCATATTCAGATCATAAAACAAACCTGGCGCAACTTAATGATGAAAATAGAATACTTATCTACCTAAAGTAATCAAATCAAACTGAGGTTTATTAAAGAAAAAAAAAACCCTAATACTTTGTGTTCGGCCAACTTGAGTTTAACTGATAACATCTCCAGGCTCTTTCGATTATCTGAAAAAGCAGATGTGCCACTTTCATGGTAGCTGCAGCGTTCTTACTCTTCACATTTAAGCTATGAGTCAGTTAGTCCCACAAATTTTGAATTATCCTACTACACGAGTAAGAGTGCAAAAACTCCTTGTTTCTTACAAAAATTAACCCATGTTCTTGAAAGAAGCTTAGATTAACTGGCAAAATACACTCTTAATATTCTTTTCTTTCATCATTTAACATACTCCCTAATCAATTTCAAATTCTCAGATAGGTAATGATGCAATATGGAAAAATCCCAAAACATAAAATCATTTCATCAGCTAATTATTATTAACCAACAGAGAGAGAAATAGAAAGACAAAGAAACAGACCTACGTAGTCGCCCATGAAGAGGTAGTTAGTGTCAGGAGCGTTACCACCGATGCGAAAGAGTTCGACAAGATCATGGAACTGACCGTGAATATCACCGCAGACAGTTACTGGACATTTGACAGGCTGAACGTTCCATTCCTCGACAAGGACCGCTCTGGCTTGCTCACACAGTGCTTTCACTTCTGCTTCAGCTAATGGTTTGCACTGCATCAAGTGCTCGATCTGACGGTCTAGATCCACGTGAGACGGCATCTTTTATTTTTTTAAAAAGAGAATTTCGATTGATTGGATCGAAATCGAATCCCAAAAAGGGGATTAAGATTAAGTTTTAGGGATGATTCAGGTCATGGTCGTGGTTCAGACCAGAGATTGGGGATTTTGGAGTTTCTATTAGGGTTAAGGCTTTGGGAGAAAACGAGAGGGAGGGAGGGAGAGAGAGAGAACGGGAAGAGATTGTTATGATTGCTTCAAGACATTAACGAAAAAAATAAGACAGGATATTAGTTCATAATTTAAAAATGTTTTTTTTTTTTACAACTTAAATAGATATTTTTTTTCTCTAAGATAATAAAAACATTTTTTTTAATTGAAATTGTAGTTAATTATTAATTAAGAAGTAACTAGCTAAATTATCAAAACCATAAGATGTTTTGTTATGATATATTTAGTAGATCTATTTAATAATTTGTAATTACCTATTTATTACAAAATAAGTAATAATATTTATGTTTTTCAAAAATAACAAGGTAATTTTTAAATTGTAATTGTATAATAATATTAATAAGTAGCATAATTACAAAATAATTAATTAAGAAAAAAAATGATAATTTTTTATTAATTTTTAACTTGAAGTTACTATAATTATAATGTCTTTTAAGTAACTATAGGAAATACCATACTCCCTTCTTCTTCTTCTTCTTGTTTTTTCTCTCCTTCTTTTCTATAGGTTGGCGTAATAATTTGCAATAACTATCAAAAAATTCATTTAAAAAAAATCTTCTATCTAAATAATCAATCAATTTATTTTTAAATCTCTCAAATTTAAAATAATATTTTTTTAATCAAAACTTTCAATGGTTAATCTCCAACTTAACACTAATTAATTATTGAGTGTTTTTATAAGATAATTTTTAACTTGAAATTACTATAATTATAATGCCTTTAAGTAACAATAGCGCCCGCCCCCCTCCCAAATCTCTTTTTACAAGTTGGTGTAATAATTTGGGATGATTACAAAAGAAAAAAAAAAGCCTCTTTTAAAAGATCTTCCATCTAAATAATCCATTAATTTATTTTTGAATCTCTCTAATCTAAAATAATATTTTTTTACCAAAACATCTAATAATTAACTTCCAACTTAATACTAGTTAACTATTAGGTATTTTGGTAAGATAATTTTTTTTTTTAAGGTTTGAGAATTAAAAATAAATTAAAGGGTTTTTTATATAAAAGATTTTTTGGAGTGTTTTTCTATTAGTTTTTAATAAGTTTGATACTCGGTTTTTTTTTTTTTCATAGTCAAATTTTGGTTCATTTTTTGTTACAGTAGAAAGACAAAAGTTTTTTGAGGTTCTTTGACTTCTAACACATTGATATTCGACCATTATTTTATTATTATTATACTAAAAAAATCTGTATGTAGGAGTTTTTATTTCTTTCTATTGATCTTTTATTTCATCAACTATTAGATTATTTTTACTATCTAATAACTACGATGAATCGATGCAATTCAACCGATTAAGATTAACGAAATGAGACTCATTTTATCCTCTTGTAATTTAATCCAAGGATTATCATACAAATAAAAAATATATATAAATATAAATGATTATAAACATTAATGATGTCCTAAATCTTAATATATTGATAGAAAAAAAAGCGCTATAGTAATACTAGTTTTTAATTAATCAAAACTCAACATTTTTTATCAAGCAATTAACTTAAATTACAAAATGAATGTATAACATATTTTGAAGTATTAATTAAATAAAATATAGTTTCATTTAAACAAAGGATAATTACCAAAATACCATCTAAAAAATCCTCTATCTGAAAAATCTACCATTTTATTTTAAATCTCCATGACACAAACCAATATTTTTCTTACCAAAACTCTTTTTAAATCTCCCAAACCCAAAACAGTATTTTTCTTATCAAAACACTCAAATTATTAAGTGTTTTGGTAAGAAAAATATTGTTTTGAGTTTGGGAGATTTAAAAATAAATTAGTGAATTTTTTAAGAAGGTTTTTTGGGTAATTATCTCTAATAATTTTAGTTTAGTTTTAGCTAGTCCAGTGCTCTTTGACCTACTTGTGCTTTTAGCTTTCGGCCATTTTTATCGTTTTGTTATTCTTCTAGTGCTTTCTATGATTATTTGAATTATAGCCCATTAAAATTTGCCAAGTGATAAGATAAAATTTAGATTGCATTTACTACAAATACTTTTTAGTTTGTAATTATTTAAAATTATTTTTTTTCACAATTTAAATGATAATTTGTGTTCTCCTATAATTAAGAGAACAATGAACTTTTTATTATTGAACTTACACATAATCATTCATTATTATATAATAATTAGTTAAATTATAAAAATATAAGATATTTTTTTCAACATATAAAAAGTAAATCTACTAAATAGTTTGTAATTTTTTACTTCTTACAATGTGAATAACATTTATGTTTTTTTTTTTAAGTAACAACATCCTATTTGAATAATAATTTTATTCTAGTATTAATTACTAAGCACAATTACAAAATAATTAATTTAATTATTAAGTGATAAGATAAATTATTTAAGGTAGAACAAATAGAAGTATTTATTAGTCATAACGTGAAGGTATTATGATTGTAAGTTGGATAAGTTTTAATTTATCCCATAGAGGTTCGAGAGGTTTCTCAATTTCTTCCTTAAGCTTTCATTTGTAACCCCTCAATTTCTTTCCTAAGCTTTCATTTATATCAATTACCTTCTCAACTTTTATCAAAATTAACTTTCGAGTTCTTCTCTTTTATTCATTTGTCACAACCCCGGGAGTGGGGCATGACCGACGTGAGGATCGAAGGGACCATGAGGCCCATCTCAACCTAAGCAAGCCTCGGATACTAAACTAATCCTCAAATCATGATCGGACTTATATTATAGTCTTCAAATCAATATCACTCAAATTATCATTCCAATCTCATTATCATAAATTAATAAACATTTCTTTTACAACCTCAATACAATTCATATTTCAATATTCAAAATCAATAGTCATAATATCATATTCATAGTCAACTCATAATATACTATCCACAACTATAATTGTAGAGCATCTATACAAGTTAACACAAACATATGTTCTAAGAAATTACAAGAAAATAAGTCGCATGACCAAAATGCCGACTTCACAAAGACAACCCAAAAGAAGTAATGAGCAATCCTTCAATATCTTGTGAAACTAAAATAATGAGTGGTGAGCAAGTCCACGAACTTAGGAGTAGACATTATATAATATATTAAGAAAGAAAAATGACCTACGGACAATGTTGTCAAAATGCGATGCTTATTTCTTAAAACACATGCATATTGAAAACACATCTCATATCACAACTCAAATGGTTCAAAGTCATTTCGCATCAAATCGTCAAAGCATTTGTTCATACATATATCATACTCATACGAAAACTCATATATAGATTTTGTACACCCGTAGGATAATAACGTATCATTGGGTATGAACACTCAAATGTCGGGCCCCTATGACTAGTTTTCCGCATGTTGGCCGACATCCCCCGTGACTAGGTTTTCACATGTTGATTGACATAAAGTCTAGTACTACACCTTTTCTACTAGATGGAGCATCATATCATTGAGCTCAAAGGCTACCCCTAGTAGTTAGGTACCCTAGGGTCTCGAAAATATTTTCGAAAATCAAATATATTTATACATTTTTAAATAGGTATTTCAAATAACATACATGTATTTTCATAAATTACACGAATACTCAAAATAGCAAATATAACACAATCATGTTCAAATTCAAAAACACATATCAAACCATTAACATTTATTCAACATATTAAAATCTCTTTTCAATTCTCATCAAATCATTTTGATACGAAAATATTTCAAAATTCATGGTGTCCATTTCCATCTAAGTTCTAATAGAATTACTTCTAAATCATTCTTAAACAATGATGCATGTTGAATATAATTTAAGGAATGTAAATTACAATACACTATATAATATCCACTCATAATACAAACAAAGAACCAAACGAAAATCAAGACGGTTGGAATGGAGTCGCTCGCTTTGAAGAATCTAAAATCATAAAATGATGGATCATCCATCAATATCACATGGCAAGGAATAATCCAAATAATGAATTATTTTAGAATTAAAAATATAAGATTATCAAATAAAAATAAAATTGATTGGAAAGACTCAACCCGATAATCTAACTAAATCATATGATCCCTCAATTGATTCTAAATAATCATCTAATCATATTCCATTGTCAAATCTTTAACTAATTCCTTAAATAATCAACCTTAAATGATGGATCATCCATTAATATCACATGGCAAGCAATAATCCAAATAATGAATTATTTTATAATTAAAAATATAAAATTATCAAATAAAAATAGAATTGATTAGAAAGACTCGACCCGATAATCTAACTAAATCATATGATCCCTCAATTGATTCTAAATAATCATCTAATCACATTCCATTGTCAAATCTTTAACTCATTCCTTAAATAATCAACCTTAAATAAATCAATTCTTAATTTGACTAAACGATCAATTCTATTCTAAGTCATCCAATAATCACTCCTTTCATCTTTGAATCACATTTATATAGCTTAATTCCTTATTTTCCTTAAATTCTTTTCGATTAAAACCTAAGTTTCGCATTCATCACTATTCATCATCTTCAAACTCTCAATTTCTCAAATTCATTTGATTCAATTTCAAATTAACTTCTTATTTCATTTACACAAGATAATTAAACATCAATTTAACACTTAGGATCACTTAATCAAAATTTTTCATAAATGATTCTCAAAACCCTAACCTTAATCCGATTAATTCCTCAAGTAAATCACAATCCAAAGCAACTTCGATTCAATATCACCTTTAGCTACACATAAATATCATAATTTAAGGATCAATTAATAAAAAATCTTACCTTGACTCTTTGCTCTCAAATCCCCATTTTCTTTCTAGTTCTCCAAGCTCTCAAAGCTCGAAGCTAGTTAAAAT